TGAGGGGAACAAAATGAAAAACTCAGGAAATGTCGGAACCAATTAATACTTTCACCTTAAAGCGATGGAGATGAGTGTGCTAGGACTTGGGATTAATGAATGAGTGAATGGAGGTATGAACCGGTGAATTGATGAGGAGAGAGAGAGAGAATTCTATCTATAGTGTAGGAGGGTGCCCGGTTTTGGGGGACAGGATCGAAGTGGTCTAAAGGGTTTTTATGAAATTTTATTAAAGTATAGTATCCATGGTGACAGTTGGTTTGACACTAGTTGCTGGCTGCGTTGCCACAGTGGTAGCCCGAAAAAGTTGAGAATAAAATTTGCCTTTTGCATTTCATTGAGGTCTTATCTACACTACTTTCTATATTATTTTCCCTTTCATATCATATTACTTTTGTTTTTGTTTTTCTAGGATTGCTTTGTAATAATTTGTACAGTTTTGCATGTTATAGATGTAATCTTTTTTTTTTGGTTTTTTTTTTTTTCTTGGACTTGGCTTTTTTTTCAAAGGTTTGGGCGTTTTTTGTCGTTATTTTTTTTGCTGAGGATAACCCACTACAGGTGTTGTAGATTCTTTTTTGCACAAAAAACATATTTAAGGTGTAAGGTTAAAACAAAAACAAAAAAAGAGATAATGTATGGAAGTGGCGGCCACGCGTATGTGGAGAACTCATGTTAATCTGTCTCCGATGTATTTCAATAAAACGGAGCGCTGTTACAAACACAACACTGTGTGTGTGTGTGTGTGTGTGTGTGTGTGTGTGTGTGTGTGTGTGTGTGTGTGTGTGTGTGTGTGTGTGTGTGTGTGTGTGTGTGTGTGTGTGTGTGTGTGTGTGTGTGTGTGTGTAAGGAACTTGCGCTTCTGAACTTGTGAAAAAAACTTTATTACAACTTCCACAAAGGTTTCATTTGTATTACATCTATACATACCTCAACTATTTGGGCAAACTTTTATACAAGAAAGAAACAAAAGTCTTGAAACCCAAACAAAACTATTGCCAAATTCTACACTAGTTGTATTGTACTATCATTTATCATATTCAAACTTTAAGGCAGAAAGTTGGTGTTTATCATGCATTTCAGCCCTTGGATCCAAAATGGCGGACGAGCGTACTTCATTAACAGTTTAGTGATGACATCATTTTGACTCAATCACACATCCATTGTATTTGTGGAGGTCTGCTAAAAAAGCATTTACTGTCATTTTTTTAACTGTTTAAAAACCATTCAAATTCAATAGCTTTAAAAAACATTGAGCATGATTTTACCTGAATCTCATTTGTATTTTATCATTTTTTACCTCATTTCTCCATTTCCCTTTTACCAGTCAGGTTACCCTGAACACGACTGCTGTCTTATTGGACCCAATACCAACCAGATGTAGGTGATGCAATAGGTTACATGTTGGACGACTAAGTTCTGCACTTTATGAATTGTGTGTTCGTAAAGTTCCCACAAGCTGTGACCTAAAGTTGGTACTTCACGAATGATGTGTTCATAAAACTTTAATGAGTTTAAAGTTGTGACCTTAGTTCGACTACAGTGGAGACACGATTGGATGACTGAGTTGTGATCAATCACATTACAAATATACGTTCACATTTTTGGGCCCTTCCCAGGATTCATTGCAGGGGGGCACCTGAACAAACAGACACTGAAGAATGGCCATGACTGCTCTCCTTACGTTCTGGACCAGTAAATCTTCGCCCCAGTGAGCAAAACCGTACCGAAAATATCACAGTCAACAGTCGAATTAAAGACAAAAAGACAAATGGTATGTTATGAAACCACACTGATTTCACACGTTATCATTGTTTAAATTCACAGTCAAATAAAAAAGCCCAACAAAATCTTGGAAAGCAGCATTCTCGATTCACAGAAATATTTGAGTAGTCGCATGTATAATCTGCTATATCGTCATGTATGTAGATCTGACTAAAGAACAAGAAAACAAAGCAAGAAAAAGTCTTTATATGCTCCATAGGTCCGGATGGTCGTATTTCATATCCATATCCTCAGCAGGTTCGAGACGCAACACGACACAAAGATTACATAGTTCCTCCTGACGTCACCATGGCGATCGCGACACTCGTTTTTTGGAGGGAATCGATACGGTGCTTGTGATTGGCTGAACCTGAGGAGCCTTTTGGGGGCATCTTAAATATAGAGGTTTGATTAGCTGGCCGTAGCGCCACCCGCTGCGCTTTCTGTACCAGCAGCTCCCTTTGAGTCTGAATGGAGCATTTGGGCAGCACAAACCGACGGCTAATGGCGGACTCGTAACCGTACAGCTCTTCAGCCCTGAAGAAAACCAGTGTAACTCATACGCTCGGGTCAAGTTCCTCGTTCAGTTAGTGTTTTTTTTTAGAGCAGGGAAAAAAAGATGGCCACCTCCGTAACAGATCGGAGTGTCAAAGTCTTCGTCTCTCAGGCTCTGGTGCCGTCCTCCTCCAGCACCCGGTGGACCCCGTGTCCGGGAACGCCGTGGACCGCCTGCGTCGCGACGCTCAGGTCCCTCGCGCTGCTGTGCCGCGACTGGCTCTCCAGCCGCTGGGTGGAGCCGTGCCGCGATAGGCTGTCCAGGCGGTTGTTGCTGCAGTGTCTCGACTGCGATTGGTCCTTGAGTCGAGGCAGGCTTCCGTAGGGCGGGCACTCCTCTTTGGCCCGGAAGCTGGAGGCGGTGTACCTGAGAGGAGACGAGAGGAGAAGAGAGAGGCGGGGTTAGAGCCGGAGGAGTCCAATTGTGACTTTTTGACAAGATTCACTTCGCCTGCCACAGTTTCCATCTGGGATTGGCCATCTTGGATATGTCTAGAAATTAATCAATTAATACATTATTGTTTTTTTTTTGTGTGCGATTTGTGAAACTGGAGAGGAAGTGATGTGGATCAGGGGCGTACGACGCCGATTCTGCTTTAGTAACGCATCAATGAGTTGACACACCCATGAGTATAGAGACATCAGTGTGTTTTTGATATCGTCGCTATAAGCTGAATGAAAGCAAACTGAGCAGCGGTCGTTCCTCAGCTTAACCCACTATCTCACTATGGGCTCGCTCTTTCCTAATGGACCTAATGGATGTGTGTGGTTCCGGTCTGCGTCTGGATGTCTAATTCTAATCGCCGTGGCGACGCCATCCCCTCCGTCCCACCTTCCGTCGCGGGGAGCGGCGCAGGCTGCCGTGGAAGCTGCTGCCGCTGCTCTTCGAGGGCCCGCTGCGCACGGAGCCGGCCCGGCTGGTGCTGCCGCTGGCGGGCTGGTCCAGCATGGCCAGGTGGGTGGAGGAGGCGTGGGTGGAGGTGCCCTGGGTGGAGGTGCCGCACGACTTCCTCACGATGGGCCGGCTGGGTTCCCTCAGCAGCAGCTGTGCGAAGTCAGGCTCGGGCCCCAGGGCCTGGTGGCTCTTGTGGACCATCCTGCTGTGGTGGTGGTGGCGGTGGGGGGGAGAGGGGAGGGAGGGGAGGGAAAGACGCAGGAGGGTGGGGAGGGAGAGGGGGAAGGTGGCCGGGAAGGGGGAGATGGAGGAGGGCGAGGGGAAGGAAGAGCAGAAGGTGGGAGAAGGGGTTAACACTCTGAGTTTTGTGAGTCACGGGGGGAGAGGAAGAGAGGGGGGGAGGTTGCAGAGTGAGGGGCGGGTCTTCACAAGGACTCGGTGGCAACCTCGTATCTATGGCGACCGGTCACCATCCGGATGACACCGGGTTCCAATATTTCTATCTATTATCTAATCTAATGGGAGGTGTTCAGAAAATCTGGGTCTTGTTTCATTATTGTATTATTCTAGGTCTTCAATTCGAAATAATACAAATATTTCTAAGATTTACGAATCAAATAATAAAGTTTACTTCACATATGACGCATGGATGAAGAAAAGCTTCTAATTGCGTTAACTACATACTCTCTCGGCGGTCTTATGTTAAGGACGTACTCTTTGCGTCGCTTGCCGTGGAAGAAGCTGGCCCACTCATAGCAGGTCTTCTTGCTGCCCACCCAGAACACGGAGGGGATGCCCACAATCAGCATCATCAGGTACTTGGTGATGAAGAGGACCAGGTCTGGACGGCTGTTCTGCTCCACCTGGGACACACACACACACACATTTACATCTATTGTGTCTGGAATAGCAGAGCTATTATCAGCCCACGCTGTCTATGTTTCTATGTCAGAGAGTCGGGTTGGACACACAAACGCAGAGCGATGGTTAGTTTGTCTGGAGGATATATATGCATCCCGTTGTGTGTGTGTGTGTGCTGAGCTCATCGGCTGTATATCCACCCACACAGAACTGATAAAGGCAGGCTGGCGGCCATTTTGACTGCATACTCCTTAAGAGTCATTGAGTTGTGTGTGTGTGTTCGCCTAGCTCATTACTGACAACTGGCTATAGCCTGCCAGAGGCATACATAAACAGGGGTGGAGCGCGCACACACAGCTCTAGACATCATGTCATTATGCTGATACACACACACAGAGACAGAGAGAGAGTGAGTCCTGGCCTTTCATCCTCCGACAGCTCTAATCTGGAGCGCTGCATCTGTGTGTGTGTGTGTGTGTGTGTGTGTGTGTGCGTGCGTGCGTGCGTGCGTGCGTGCGTGCGTGCGTGCGTGCGTGCGTGCGTGCGTGCGTGCGTGCGTGCGTGCGTGCGTGCGTGCGTGCGTGCGTGCGTGCGTGCGTGCGTGCGTGCGTGCGTGCGTGCGTGCGTGCGTGCGTGCGTGCGTGCGTGCGTGCGTGCGTGCGTGTGTGTGTGTCCGCTGTGCGTCCGCTGTGCCTCCAGGGAGAGAGAAAGCTTTTTAGATAAATATAGTCCTGCCTCTATCTGCTGTCTTTACTATAGCACTGGCTTTGTGTGTGTGTGTCTCTCTCCCCACAGGGAACTCAGCCACTGTGCTGTATAGATTTCTTTGAAATCTTTGAATTGAAATGATGCATTACGTAATAAATCATATTTTGTATTCTAGCTAAAGCATCTCGGCATACAGTGAGAGTACACATTCTCAGCATGGGCTGCCCCAGTAGGAGTCGAACCCCTGGCAATGTGCATGCCATGCTCTACCAGTTGAGCTAGACAGGCGATCCTCAGAACTAGATAGTCATCCTTGGTTAGGAGTGAATTGTTCTCCATCTTCTGTTTTTAACTATCTGGTCCTCTCCTCCTCTCTATATGGAACCACTATCTGCTAAAGCTCATAAAACAGCCATTCTACTAAAACTAGTTTTCCTTTGTCTCCGACGTTTCAAACCTCATATTTGATCATCTTGACTATAAAACTGGGTATCACGATACGTCGATAACTTCATTTTGTGACGATACAATACCATTCAAAGACGACACGCGATACTATTGAATTATTGCCCAGCCCTATTTTGATGCGTTCTCTGCTTTAACTGTCGTGTTCCTCTCTCTCCATCTGGAACCACTGCACTGAGCTCATAAAATGATACGTAGCATTGCTGTTCATTAGATTAGCGGTAGTGTGCATAGTTAGATTAGCGTTGGTGTGTGGCATGCGTGCTGTGATGTAGTGCAGGCTGACCCTGGTGACCCCGCGGTGGGGTGGATGTGACAGCGTAGCACTGGGCTACGCGGCACAGCGCGTGTAGGACGGCTTAAGAGTATAGGGCTGCACATCTGAACCCGCGAGATAATACGCCACACACACACACACACACACACACACACACACACACACACACACACACACACACACACACACACACACACACACACACACACACACACACACACACACACACACACACACACACACACACACACACACACACACACACACACAATTTTCTCACAATCCCATGTTCTTGGTAAGTGAGATAATGCGCGGCTGCTGCATGCTGATCCGCATGATCCAGTTTAGCTTTAGAGCAACATGCAAACAACATACACACACACACATACACCATCCCTCAGATGTGACCACATGGTGACTCAGGACTCAGCTGTGTGTGTGTGTGTGAACAGACGATGCTAGAGGACCAGTGTTGGGGGATACTCCTGTGAAAGGCCCCACATTCCCAGTAGTACCATCTAGTAAAGAAGGACTATTCATATTGTTTGGAGACACATAGTACAGCAGAGCCGGTGTTGCTCTGCGTCTGCCGTTATAAAGTGTACGGATAAACAGCAGCAGGTTGAATTATTAACAGCCTCCCAATGAGTGGGAGAGAGAACTATAGCTATAGGCTCCCACTCCCTCTCTCCCCCTCTCCTCTGCTTCAGGCAAACTACCCCCAGTGGGCGGTTTATATATATGTGTGTGTGTGTGTGCGGGGGGGGGGTTGTGCTTTGAGAGTGAGATGGAGAGAGCTGTTTTTTGGAGGTGTTTACACACTCGATCCAGATATACCGCTTTTCAGCAGAACATTTAAATGGTGTTAGGGGTAAGTAAATAGTAAAGTAAAGCTTTCTTTACATAGCACTTTCTACACACAGTTACAAAATGTTTCACACACACACAAAAACCCCATAAATGAATAAATAAATAAGGTAAAAATAAATCACAATATAAAACACAGCACAAAGAGACAGACCAAACTAAAACAAACCAAAAGATAAGACGGGGATGGAGACCTACAGAAAGGCTCGCCTATAAAGATGGGTTCCTAGTAGCCGCTTAAAACAGTCTAAAGGCTCAGCCAATCTGGGCTGAGCCTTTAGACTGCGAGGAAAGGATAAAAGGTGACAAGGTGCGTACCTGGTAGGGGCAGGGGATGTGGTACTCCTTGCACCTCTCCTGCACCCAGGTGGTCTCCCAGGCCGGCCGGTGGCTGCTCTCATACAGGTAGCAGGCCAGAACGGTGAGCAGCGGCACCAGGTAGAGGACGGAGAACACGGCGATGCGGATCATGAACTTCACCAGCTTCTCCCGGTTCTCCTTCTCCAGGGGGATCTCCATGCGCACGCGGTTCAGCGCCGCGATGCCCGCCAGCAGCAAGGCCACGCCCACCTGGGGGGGGGAACCAGAGTCAAACCAGATTGATTTGGTGGAGGATGAGGAAATCAGAGAGAGAGAGAGAGAGAGAGAGAGAGAGAGAGAGAGAGAGAGAGAGAGAGAGAGAGAGAGAGAGAGAGAGAGAGAGAGAGAGAGAGAGAGAGAGAGAGAGAGAGAGAGAGAGAGAGAGAGAGAGAGAGAGAGAGAGAGAGAGAGAGAGAGAGAGACTTTTTGAAGTCTAACATTTTTCAACTGATAAATCACCGACATTACTTTTTTTTCAGAAAGTGATTTTAGTGAGATTTGAGTGAGAGTGAAATTTACAGCCCACATGAGCTCATGTTCATGGTTACATTCACAATTCACATTTACATTCAGTGTTTCCATTTCCACTACTCATTGTGTATATCGACATGTTGACGAATCGCAAGCTAAACGTTCTGCTCACCACGACGTCCACGCCGAGCGGCGCCAGCAGGAACCACCGCAGCGCCGTGAGGTCGTAGAGCCCCACGAAGCACACGCCGCTGACGCCGTCGCCCTCGATCTTGTTCATGGCCAGCAGGGTGACGGTGAGGGCCCCCGGGAGCCCCCAGGCGCACGCGTGGAACAGCAGGGCCTTCTTCTCGATGGCCTCGCTGCCCCACTTGGGCACGGCGGCCAGGAACCAGGTGACGGTGAGGACCACCCACCACACGCTGCCCGCCATGGTGAAGAAGTAGAGCACCATGAACAGCAGCGTGCACGCCTGGGGAAAAACGGTTCAGGTCATCAGTTAAAGGGCCCCTATTGGATTAGCCATTATAAGCCGTTTCAAAATTGTCACGTGACTACGCTCTCTAGTGACATCACAAGTGGGAGTGTCCACCGAGATGTATGATGATAGATCAGCCTACCAGTTGGTCCACTGGGTAGGCTGATCTAGTCATCATACATGTGTCACACCTGGGTGGACAGACACTCCCACTTGTGATGTCACCAGAGGGTAGTGACATCACAGTTTTGAAACGGCTTGTAATGGCTAGCGAGTGACAACGGCGAAAAGTGTTGTTTGAAAACAACAATGCAAAAAAAACATCTGCCGCGTCCAGTCAAACTTGGCCCGGTCTCCCGTGTAAACCAGTGCTTTGATCTCAATGGGGACTAGCCTGATAAATAAAGGTCAAACAAAACCAAGATCTCCCTCCCCTACCTTGTTGTGGGAGCCCTGGGTGACGGTGGCGGCGCGGAACCGCCCGGGGCTGGCGGGGTTGCACGCCACGGCGTCGTCGAGCAGGAAGCCCAGGAAGAACGCCAGGGACACCATCATGTAGCACACGGCGTAGAAGATGATCGGCCGCTCGGGGTAGCGGAAGCGCGACACGTCGATGAGGAAGGTGAGGAAGGTGAAGAGCGTGGCGGAGAGACACACGATGGACGCCACGCCGATGAAGTACCGCGCCGGCGCCAGCTCCTCGCGCCCGAAGTACATGTTGGGGCAGGGCGGCGAGCAGTCGCGCACGCCCATGAAGGAGTAGCCCAGGTCGGGGTCCATCTTGAGCTCCCGCGGGCACCAGAAGCCGTAGTCGCGCTGGACGGCGCCGGGCGCCTCTGGGCTGGGGGTCTCGGAGCTGGACAGGAGGTCCGCGGCGCGGGGGTAGGGCTCGTCACAGTCTGGGAACCTGGAGGAGGAGGGAGGGAGGGAGGAAGAGAGAAATAAAGTAAGTTAATTTGATCTGATTCGATTATATGTCGGATTGTATTTGATCCATTTCATTAGATAACTGAACGCTATCCTTTCCTGTTAAAAAACATTCAAATATTGTATTCTGTTATTTAAAAAAAGTACATGTTCTTTGTTATCAAAAGTTCAAAACTTTTTCAAAGTAAGAGCGCATCAAAACATATTTTTTTCACGAGCACATCAAAAATAAATTCTGTTTTGTTTTTTTTTCAAAGTAAGAGCGCACCAAGGCAAATCAGTTTTGGGTTATTTTCAAAATAAGATCACATCAAACCATCAGTTTGGGACATTTTCAAAGTAAAAGCACACCAAAACATCCCTTTTTTGTTTTCATAACAAGAGCACATCCCAATAGGCCCACACAAATACAATATTGTGATTTCACCACCAGCACCAGCACCACAGACCTGTTGCAGTCCATCTCCTGGGGCCAGCTGACTCCGAACATGTCCATGAGGCCGTAGCAGTCGCTGCGCGCCTGCAGGCAGAGCCGGCGGCACGGCAGGGTGACGCGGCCGTACTCGGTGCACACCGGCGCGTACAGCGCACACAGGAACATACGCAGCTCCTGGGAACACTGCAGGTTGACCATGGGGTGGAAGGGCTGTGTGGGGGTAGAGAGAGGGAGCGTTGTTACTGCGTTGTTTTAAAAAAAATGTTTTAGATAGATAACACTATCAATCCCAGAGGGGAACTTCAGATCAGCCGAAGTGGACAGAGCAGCGCTGCGGATAAAGACAATAGATAAATAAATACATACGAACAAGATATCGCTCTATATTTAAAATGTGTTTCATCTTGTTTTTGTATCGTGTTTTAGTTTTTGTGGTGCTTTGGCGGTGTAAATGTGTGAATCTCCCATGTCAGTGAGGGACAGGGAGAGGGAGGGAGGGTAGAGAGACAGAGAGAGAGGGAGAGATAGAGACGGAGAGAGGGATGGGGGCGGTGGTAGAGAGCGTTAGAAAGAGCGAACAAAGAATATCAAAACTGGATCGGCATTCAATCAAGATTTTCTTTCAGTCACAAAAAACAGAAAATCGATACGAGAACGAAGGTCTGCATGCACTTTGAGTTTGTCTTGACTCTGAATCCCAGATTAAAAACCTCAGAAAACGATAATTTCACCGTGCAGGTAAAGTAAGGTTAAGAACAAGTCTCTCTTTCCACCCCTCTCTCTCTCTCCATTTCTTATTGATGCGTTTGGGGTCTCTCTACCGTCTACCCCCTCCGTTCTAGTCTGACTGCTGCTGTCGTTACAGACCCTCAGGGACCAACACACACGTGTTATCCCCCAAACAAGCTACTGTTTACAGCACACAACACCTGCCAGAGAACTAAGCCTTGTAATCCCGATTCAAATCGCGAATTGGGAACAGTTTTCAAATCGCGATGTCAAAATCC